CCCCACCTCGCGGAGCACTACCAGCGCACTGGCCGCACGGTCACGCTGCTCCATTTCCCTCTGGACCCGCTGGTGCAGAATGGCTTCCCAGGCCTCCAGGTGGGTATAGAGGCGGTCCAGGGACATCACACGATGGTCCTTCTTGACGCAGAGCGGCGAAACCGACGCCCGCTGGCAGGTGAGGCAGAACATTTCTGAAAAGCATTAAATCCAATGGTGAGTCACTTTGTGAGACACACACTTCTCAAAAACTGAAGTCCTCCCGCAAGATAGTTCAGCGCAACCGAGATGCATGCTGGGAGCCCTTGCGTGCGACCTCGCGCCTAAGGAAATAGTGACGAAAAAAGTGACATTTTCCCGCTAAAAGTGCATAAAAGTGCAGTATTTAGGACGAAATTCTTAGTAAAACTTAGTAAAAGTTTCAAAGTTTAAAAAAAATCTCATTCAACGAACGTTAATGAAAGCAGATGATACTCGTTTGGTTTTCTTCTAGGTAGTTGTTCGGGATTAATTGTGTAAGAAATAAAACAGATAGCCCAATAAATAGACCTAAGCGAGCTGGGAGCTGGCCAGTGGTGCGAGCCGAGCTGTGGTTTGCGCTTGCATCCGCTTGCACCCTGCACCGATGCGCCGCTCCCCGAGCTATGCCGAGCCTTGAGGCATTGTTGCTGTTCTGTGCGCTGTACCCGGGGAGGGAGGGCATTGTTGGCCGGTGCCGCTCGCGCTGTACCTGGGAGGGATTGTCGATGTTCCGCGCAGACTGCCTGCCATGCGACACTCACGATCCCGCCCGGCAGCCACCACCCTAATATTATTGTTAGGATACCGCTTGATTTCTGGATTTGGGAGTAAAAGCACGCTGACACCTTTATGTGTCTAATAGTTTTAGATATGTTTCAAGTGTAGTAAAGGTATCATCTGCTAAAAACAAACAACATAATTCAACAATAATTTTAACTGAATAATAAAGCAAGTTCTTATTTTCAAGACACTAAAAGTTCCAATAACTTACAAATAAATAAAAAACTTACAAATTAAAGGAGAACTTGAATGAATGAAAATGTACAAATCAATGGTCACATAAAGATGCATTCATTGGCAAACAAAATATACAAAGCTTCAAATCAGTATCAGACAATGCAGCTGAATATGATTGCTCAACAATATCAGTTCTTGCCTTGTCTTTTCTCCTCACTCTTAAAACCTTACGAAGTATTTTGAGCATACGTATAACAAACTAAAATACTTTGTTATACGAAGAAATAGTTCGTAAATTACAAAGTATTTTCTTTGTAAGCTTACGTATGCTCAAAATACTTTGTTATACGAACTACTTTTCTTTGTAAGGCCCAAAATAGTTTGTTAGGTTTTCTCAGTGCTCTTCTTAGCAGCAAAGTTTATTTGTTTGCAAACACTTGAAGCGTAACAATCACAAACATAAGATTTATGATTTTTGATTCAGTCATTACCATGGACATTCCATGAAACCCATTCAACATTAACAAAGCCAATTTCTCGAATAAGTCTCTGAAGTGTATCAGGTAAATGTATTAAAAATCTGTACTTCTCTTCAAAGCGCCTGAAACAATCTTTTAAAATGCCACAAGCTCGTGACTCGGTCAACCTTCAAAGGCAAGCCTTTGATTCCAAACAAATATGTTCTCAAAAATAAGGTCAGAATGAGTAAGGGAGTATGGGGTGATTTGTAACAGATTTCGGAATTCACTATACAAAATTAAGAATATTCTGCATATCGGTGCCAAACTTGTGCCAGTTGAGCAGTCTGGACCTTCATCTAGACTGTGCAGCTCCATTGGATCAATCTGGAGTCCGTAATCTTTGAAATCTAAGACGTTTCCGGAACCCTTGCATGGTGTTACGAATCGCCCCAGCATGGGGTGATTTGTAACAGCCATGGGGCTTTTTGGCTGAGCGATAGCGAAGCCCGTTACTCAGGTGGGGTTGAAAAGTTTTTCCTGTCTGCGTGCGTGTGTGTGTCCGCACTACTCCTTCTGAACGGCTCGGCCGATGTCGGTGAGATTTTGCACACTTTTTGGGTATGTCCTTAGCTCGGCACACGCGAAATTTCACTATCCTAGCTCAACTGGTTCAGTTTTTTATAGTCGAAAAACACCTAAAAAACGGCGAAAAATCGAGTTTTCTGCAGATAAATCACTTCTGTCTTAAAGAAAGGGGTGTCTGGGGGGCGGGACCCCCCAGCCCCGACAAGTAATAAAGTTACAAGGTAGGTTTACGCCAGACCGTGTCTTGTCGTAACAGGCTTCGCGATGTCTCGCTGCCTGTTCCTCCAATCCACGCCTGGCGTACCTACCTTGGCCTGCGGCGCTAGCCTGCCTGCGGCAGGCAATGGCTTGTCCATTGTCGGTTACTTTTTAACTTGTTGAATGCTGGGGGGCTCCGCCCCCCAGACCCCCCTACATTCTAAATAGAGTTGTTTTATCTACAGATAACATGATCTTGACCCTTGTCACTTTTTAACTTGTCGAGGCTGGGGGGCTCCGCCCCCCAGACCCCCCTTTCTCCAAGACAGAAGTGATCTATGTGCAGAAAGCTCTATTTTTCGCCGTTTTTTAGGTGTTTTTCGGCTATAAAAACTGAACCACTTGAGCTAGGATGGTGAAATTTCGCGTGTGCCGAGCCAAGGACATACCCAAGAAGTGTGCAAAATCTCACCGAGATCGGCCGAGCCGTTCAGGAGGAGTAGTGCGGACACACAGACAGACAGACAGACAGACAGACAGACAGACAGACAAAACTTTTCAACCCCACTGAAGTAACAGGCTTCGCTATCGCTCAGCCAACAAGGGTCAAGATCGTGTTATCTGTAGAAAAAGCACCTCTACCTAGAATGTAGGGGGGTCTGGGGGGCCCCTCAGCATGTAAGAAGTTAAAAATAAAGGTAGGTTTACGCCAGACCGCGTCTTGTCGTAACAGGCTTCGCGTTGTCTCGCTGCCTGTTCCTCCAATCCGCGCCTGGCGTCCATACCTTGGCCTGCGGCGCTAGCCTGCCTTCGGCACGCAATGCTTTAATTTGGTGCATGCTGGGGGGGCCCCCAGACCCCCCCTTCGTTCTAGATAGAGTCGCTTCATCTACCAATTACACGATCTTGACCCTTGTAACTTTTTGACTTGTCGGGGCTGGGGGGCTCCGCCGACAGTTGGAGTAAAAAGTGTAAGGACTTTCGCATATTGTGAATAGAAGGGCGGGCCTAAGTCACGATGGTACATCGATAACTTTGCTTTACCCGCTCACGGTGTGTGTGTGATGTGAGTGGGCCGAAGGCCCGGGCCTTCGACTGGCCAAGTTGGGTCTGATGCGAGGGCCGAAGGCCCGAGAAAAGGCCGCCGGCAGGCCAAGCTGGGCCGGCCCCCTGTCGAACCGAGTTGCCGGCGCAGCGAAGCGGAGCTGGCAACTCGGTTCGACGGAAGGGCGGGCCCTAGCTTGTTTATTTTGCTTGACAGCTTGTAAGTACAGTGTTTTTTTTTGTTTGTTTTTCCATTCCATAGCAGACAAAACCCATTCGACCATGGGTTCTGATCCATTTAATCCCTGGATGGGTTAGGACCCATTGAGACCCAGCTCTTTGCGTTCGCTTAAGAAACGCCTGCTAGGTTAGGCAAAAGTGTGATGCAAAGGTAGGCAAACCCGCTACCCACCGACCAATTAGGGGTAACTTGTAAACTACCATTGTATTTAGCGCCGAAAGTTATGTTTGTGACGACTATCACGGTTGATAAACCTTCTTTGGAAAAGAAATAATGACAAGCCTTGTCCGAGTTTGGACACTTTGTAATGGTTTAGATCCTTTATGGGTGCAATCCATACAAATGAGTACTTTTCAGACACCCATTACATGGGTTACGGGTTGCACCCGTAAGAATGGGTTGGACTAAATTAAATGGGTGCATGAAAAGTGCCCATGTAAATTGATTTAGGAAATGGGTTTTGTTTTTGCCAACCGTTCAACAGAATGTGCAAATGGTAAAATGTTTGCTTCCATAGTTGACGAAGACAAGTACGGATCTCTGGGGGCGCGTGGGTTCCAAGCGTTTTCTTCAAGAGCGCCGCACTGTTAGGGCCGGCCCTACATAGTTGTACAAACATCATCCATGCCCAGCAGCACGGACGATATTCAAGTTAGAAAGTACGATGGAGTAGCAAGAAAGAAGTAAGGTACAGGAGTACGTACATAGTGGCACACGCCGGGGCCGTCCCCCCACCACTCCTAGCCGCGCCGGACGGCCCCGCCCTCCGCTCCCTTTCCGCTACATCCCTGAATGCCCCGTGCTAAGCAAGTAGTACGTTGAATGTACGTGTGGATTGCACGTCGTGTGCGTCTCAGAAGTACACTGGATGTACGTCTCGCTTGTATGGTCTGTTCAACCGGGGTCGGGTTTGGGGGGTGGGGAATGAAAAGCTGGAAATGCTGGAAGTGATTTTATTGCAAATTGATTGTCCTAGCTGAAAATGTAAAAATAACCATAATCTCTTTCCAATGATACTAATTGATTCAGAAATGAACACCCACTAAAATGGAATGCTATTGGAAGAGACCTGAAGAAAATTGAGAACAAAAATGATAAAACAATCTCCCTATTGCTCTAATGCACAGAAAAAAAAAAAAGTATTCACAAATCACCCAATAAATGAAAATTGCTGACGTGCATAAATAGACCATTAATTGAACACGTTTGTTCTTGCTGACAGGAAAAGTGTAAAAATAACCATAATCTCTTTCCAATGGTAATTAAATAAGAAAGTAAAAGGTGTCGTCAATAACAAATAGACATAACACTCAGTAGGTGCCTCAATTTACTAAGAACTGAGCCAGGTCCAAGTTTCATCCCACATCTTCATCACTTGTCTGGAACAAGGAAAATAAAATAAAAACTAACAACAAAGACACAAGCTAACTAAGCTAAGATAAAATGAGAGTAGAGTGTACTTACATCATATTAAAATGGACCACTGAAGAAGACTGGAGTTGTAGATTCTTGGACAGCGTCAGAGTTCAAAACAAACAGCATTAGTTGTGACGAGCCACTAAAAGTAAAATCTGGAGTTCAGAATCTCTATCGAAGGCCAAGTTTCATCCCACATCTTGGTCCCTTGACTGAAAGATATAAAATAAAATAAACACCTAACAAAAAATACATAATCTAACTAAAATATGATGAAATGAGAGAGTGTACTTACATCATAATAATATGGATCACTTAAGATGTTCAAAAATTTCAGACGCGTGGACAATGTCAGAGTACAAAACAAAAATAGTGTGCAGTAGCTGAGACGAGCAACTAAAAAGGAAATCTGGAGTTCAAGAGTCTCAATCGTAGTCCAAGTTTCATCCCACATCTAGATCACTCGCCTGGAACAAAGAAAATAAAAACTATCAACAAACACACAAACCAACGAAGGTATGATGAGATAATATCTACTTACATTATATTGCGTTGCAGACTTTGAGAACAAATAAGAGCCCAGAGGAATCATATTATAATGTTCTGTAGCTGATGCGCCTTAGTTTTAACAAGAAGTGGAATTCGGAATCATAATTGGAGGCCGAGTTTCTCTGAAACATGCGAAAAAGAGATTAGCACCTAAGAGTTCATAACCTCAGAAGTGGTATGGCAAAGTATTACCGAACTTGCAATTTTCATCGGAAAATCTAGCGGAAGCTTAAGATATCCCTGTGTGAGTGCCGAACACGATAAGGCTCGTAAAACTCTTCGAGTTCACAACTACAGGTTATCGGCAAAAACAAAAGTTCGCTTTCAGTGCGGACCTTGCTAGGTTACGGGCCGCGGCGCCCGGCCGCCGTTAGAAAGTAGAAATATTGCTTACCTTTTTATTCCTTGTTGAAGAGATCACTGGAGTTTAAACTGTGTTGCACTTCCATCTATTATTCTTGTGACCAGGCACAGATACACAACAAAGTTTGAGCTAAAGGAAAATATAAACAAAGACAAGAGCGCCGAGAGCGCGCGCAACGCGCAACAGACAGAAAGACAGACAGAAGACAGTCGGTAAGAGTGGCCAACTTAACAAGACTAGAATGCTGCCAACCTAACCAAGGCGGTTTATTTGAACGGCTGTCCGCGCGAGGTCCTCATTGGCCGACGGTGGCGGCGGGGCGCGGGGAGAACGGGGGACATCCCCCACTCCGTCCACGGCGGGCCGCAGCCCGCGGAGCGCAACCCCTGTCCGGTGCAGGGATGTACAGTAAATGACATGTACGGTACATGGCATACCCCAAGTACGAAGGTGATACGTGGAGGAGCACTTGAATGGCCCTAACATCTCGAGAAGTACGTTCATCGTACTTCGGTTTCTGTACATCCAGGGGCTGATGTAGGCTCGGACTTTACAGTGCGATGCAAGTACTCTATGCTTTTCCAAGCGCTTTCCCATAGAAGTGTGTATCTCTTCAAAACGACATGCGTACATTGTATGCTCTAGCTGGAGCATGCCTGCAAGCACGCACGAGCAAGTGCATACCTGCCATGTACACACTAACTGGAGCATACATCTAGTGCATGAGGGATAGAGACTTGTCAGCTCCAGGAAGCGTATGGCAGGTATGCACTTGTTGGTGCATGCTTGACAGGCATGCGCTAGCTAGAGCGCGCTTGCAGGCATGCTGCAGCGACAGCATTCAATGTACGCTTTTCGATTTGTAGAGAATTTCTCAGCACTCACTAGTCTATCAGATCCTGTCTTAGCATCATTTAATCAGTTAACATCTACGTCTTCTCTTCAGTTACCTACCCTCGCTTACATTATAATATTTCTCGCGCAGCACAAACAATTATGATCCTTCTCTTAGGATGCGTTTTGAGTCAACTGTGTCAGTTTCGATAAGGGAACGGCCCGAGGAAAACAAGCAATAACTCTAACATTCGTCAAAAGAAATGACTCGGAACTCCGAGCAACCTCAAAGACATTCACGCTAATTTTGGTGTACACAATTCTGAAAGATATTTCCCCAAGGACAATATGACACTCTTCTACGCCTTGGTAAGTGAAGGTCCATGTTGAAGCAAAATTTGTAAAGCCAAGAAGACAGAAACGGGTCCACATTTGACAAGATATACGCATGCAGCGGCGATTTCGGGTGATTTTTAGGCGTTAAATAGGAATTTTTTCTACAAAAGGTAGATTTTTTGCTTCCCACCGGTCCCTGCAGTGTTCCCCAGGGTGCCTCCAACTCTCAAATCGTTATTTTGGGTCTCTAGAACACCCGAGCAAAGCGCCAGACCGGGGTCAGAAAGTGCAAGGTTCAACCGCTTACAGCCCTGACTAAAGAAGGGCGGGCCAAAAACTCACACCTTGTTTGGTGCTGGGTAGGGTGGGCCGTGAAACACGATTTTTCGATATCGCAAACGTAATAGCGCGCCAAAGTTACTTGATGGCAATACAAACTTAACGCGATCTAGGCCAGGTCTGTAACTTAAAGCTTGACCCTCGCGCATCGACGTTAAAAATTCAAAAATTCGACTTCTACTGATTTTTCTAAAAACAGCCACTCTACAAATCAAAGAGTGTACATGGTATGCTCTTACTGGAGCATGCCTGCAAGCACGCTCTAGCTAGCGCATGCCTGCCAAGCATGCACTAACTAGTGCATACATGCCATGTACACGCTAACTGAAGGATACATTTACTGCATAAGGGATAGGGAGTTTTCTGCATCAGGAAGCGTGTACATGGCATGTATGCACTAGTTAGTGCATGCTTGGCATGCATGCGCTAGCTAGAGCGTGCTTGCAGGCATGCTCCAGTTAGAGCATACTATGTAAACTCTTTGATTTGTAGAGCATAGAAACTGAACCAGATGTCCAAATGATGTTCCCGAGACGGAAATGGAAACGTCTGATCACGCTTTATCAGTTTAAGACCACCGGGACCCTCTACGAGCAGTAGGGGGCCGATGGGAGAAAATTACAAAATTACCATTTTTTTCCGCTTTTTACCAAAATGCATAAATTGCCTTCAGGGTTTGATACGGCCATCCTGACGTCACCGTACCCGAACCACACTGTTAAAAATCCACTGTAATATTACAACACAATCACCTACAGTAATGCTGTTTAATAACAACAGTCTTGTTTTGTGTATAAACGGGAAACCCATCCAGAAACAACATTTTCGTTTCAAAACAACTTCCTTGTCAAGTAACAATAAAGTTATCGTGATTCAAAACAGTTGTGTTGTCGTTGAACAGGTTTCATGTTTAGAAACAGCCTTTTGCAATCTTAAAACATATATTGTTGTCAGGTTACAAGGGTCTTGTTTAATAACAGCACGATGAAATCAACGCAAATGTTGGGAAGACATCGTCGAAGACTCCAAAGCAGTATTGTTTTATTACAATCGAACTGTCAGAAAACAGCACAGAGGGCTACAACATGCTTGTAATAAAACAAGTCGTGTTGCTATCAAAATTAACAGCATAAGTGCTGTTAATTTACAGCACTTTTTTTAACAGTGCATACCCCGAATCATCTTCTCTAAGGGCCCCTTTCCCGTTTTAAGCACACGGGGTACCCCGGGATCCGTTCACACGTTAGGATTTGGACGCCAAAAACACATGTTTTACTAAAAATGCAAATTACCGGTACTCAGGGCACTGTAGGGCACTCGTCTCGTCCGTATGAACTGTAGTGACTCAAAATCGATTGCTGGATGGTGTCTTTGCGTCGCAGGAACCCACCAGTATATAGACAATCGGACGAAACTTCTCCCCGTGGTGGGAACCAAAGATATTGTCCGACCGGAAAAAATTTTTGCAGGTGTGCACTGTTAAAAATCCACTGTAATATTACAACACAATCACCTACAGTTATGCTGTTTAATAACAACAGTCTTGTTTTGTGTCTAAACGGGAAACCCATCCAGAAACAACACTTTCGTTTCAAAACAACTTCCTTGTCAAGTAACAATAATGTTATCGTGATTCAAAACAGTTGTGTCGTCGTTGAACAGATTTCATGTTTAGAAACAGCCTTTTGCAATCTTAAAACATATGTTGTTGTCAGGTTACAGGGGTCTTGTTTAATAACAACACGATGAGATCAACACAAATGTAGCGAAGACTTCATCGAAGACTCCAAAGAAGCATTGTTTTATAACAATCGAACTGTCAGAAAACAGCACCGAGGGCTACAACATGCTTGTAATAAAACAAGTCGTGCTGCTATCAAACTAACAGCATAAGTGCTGTTAATTTACAGCTTTTTTTTTAACAGTGTGTTTCTGATGTGAAGTGGCCACTTTTGCCAGGTACCCGTTTCCGATCAGAGAAAAAGAGTTTTTTCGGACCATCCTATCGGCCAGCCAGGCGACGCCGTGGACGCCGTTGGCGAGCCAGGAGAAGGAGACCCCGTGCCCGCCCGTCATCGGCGGCTGTGTCCACGCCAGGCCCGTCAACAACACTCTGCCGGGCATGCCAGGCACGGGCACGTCGGGCTTCTGAAATGCCGTGGTGGTGAGTCGTAGTCGCGCTCGCAGTCCCAACGCTTTTCCTTCTCACAAGTACCGGTGCCTGCCCAATAAAAATTGTATTATTTTTTTGTGTTTCAAGTACTTTGGGTGCCGCCCGAAGTCGAGTGGCCAGCTGGCGCTTGAGATGCTCGACGAGATGCAAGAAGAAAACAACAGGCGGTTTGACTTAGTTGAACAAATGCTTCTGTCGCTCATGGAAAAAAATAGGTACGTAATTGAGTGTACAGTTGCAAAAGAATCCCCCCTTCCCCCCGTGTTTTTAGCTGACTACTAGACAGCTGCATGGCAGCGGCCGCGCGGGCGAACGTATCTTTGGCGCGTGTTCGTGGTTTTTTCCATTCGCGTCGCTCGTTCGCTCGCTATTTTTTTCTATGTTTTAACAAGTTTTTTCAGTTGGCTTTGGTGAAAGCAAAAGTGGGGGATCCGGACAATTTGTCCCCGAAAATTCGTCCCAAGGACTTTTGGGTCCGCAAAAGATTCGCCCCCCGGGAAAAATTTGGGCCCCCTTTCAAAATTTGGGCCCCAAACGTGTCCCCGGTTTTAGAATGGTCCCCGCGGGGACGGTCCCCGCGCCGGACCAGGGTAGTATTGTTGGCAGCCCCCGGGCTACGCGGCGAGGTTTTGAGTGGGGCAGGCCATGGTTCGCTACACGATTTCAGAACGTGGAGCCAGGAAACTGGCCACGAAGGCTTCTTGTACCTAAAACATCGAGAAGTAAGGCTGGCAGGCATGGCGCGGACCTGGCGGCGAGTGCAACGGGGGTGACCGTCAATGACCAGGACGAGGTGGTGAAGGCCCAGGAGCACTCGCCGCTCCAGACTGGGGTCGCTGCCACGCCGTCGAGGGGGTGCAGAAAATAAAGGGACGCGGGGGGGACTTCGAGAGAAACCACGGGGCCATCATCCAGTCCAAGGTGTCCCGGTCTCAAGCGAGACCGCCATGAAGCTCCGAAGAGGGACACTTTGAAGAAAATGGTGCGGCGTGTGAAAGAGGGACCTGCCAAAAAAACCGGGTTTTCCCTGGCGGAGGGACGAGGTACCAGCGAGGTTCAAGAAACCTTAAGGTTTAAAGATGTACATCAGTGCAAAAATTTACGTTTTTTGGAGTTTGCGACCAATGCTTCCCTGTTTATCAGGTGAGAGGTGGCTTCTGTACTTCGACAAGGAGGACGACGGAGGATATTGTGCTGGCCACGGACGTCCAGCTCAAACCCTGCTACGCGGCAAGTTCGGGGGGTGGACGGCACGTTTAAGAGCGCGCCCGGCATCGTATGCCCGGTGTACGCCATCCACACCAGCGTCAACGGCAATGGGTGCCAGTGGTCATCGCCCTGCTGGAGCGCAAGACGCAGACCTTGTACCCGGGGGCTTTCGACGTCCTGAAAGGGGGCCGGCAGAGGAAGTTCAGGCGGCCCTTATCCCAGACAAGATTTCGACGGACTACGAAATTGGATCCATCAATGCCGCCAGACTGGAATTCCCGGGTAGGCCTCGCCTATTTGAAACCGTTTACAACATGAATTTTCAAACTCAACTGGTGCTTTCCACCAGACGCGGACGCAG